TGTCAGGACTCGAACCTTGCAGTTCGAGGACTTGGGTTTGAGCACCTCTGATCGGCAAAGGTAAGTTACTTCTCAGCTTAATCTCAGGGGGGTTGAATCCTAACAGCGCTTGATGTTGGAATAGGAACGGCATTCCCAGTATCGCGTCATACGACTCAAGATTAGCGATGTCGAACGTTCGTGGTCCCAACACGTCCTGGTACGCGAATTCTACAGTCGCACTCGCCTTCACTACACTGCGTGAGCCAGAGACAGCCAGCTGAAGAGGGATTGGCTTATCAAGTAAGTCGTATGGGAGCTTAAGTTGGTCAACGACTGTTGTTGACAGGAAGTCCGTCAGAGACCCAGAGTCAAGTAAGGCCCTGCAGGGGTGGCCATTGACTTGGATGACCACGATCAGGGCTCGCGGGAGGATTCGACTGGAGGACTTGGGTCGGGACGCGTTGCGGGACAGGCAACGAACATCAGGTAAGTCTGGCTTAGTCCCGCCGCAGTATAGCGACTGACTATTCTCATTCTCATCATGAGACGAATCATCATCACCTGGGTCGGGGACCTCGTCTGTCTGTACTTCCTGTCCTTCGTCTAGGTCACTCTCTGACGAAGACTCGCAGGTGAGTAGCTCGGGACACGATTCATTGTCCGTACTGACAGGGTTGCCAGAGACATTGGAGGGCTGGTAGGCTGGGTTGGAGCTGGGGTCCGGTTGGTCTACCACGCTCCCATTCCACGTTGGGCGAAACGAGGATTTAGTCGTTATGAGGTCAGGATAGTTGATGAGTTTCAGGTCAGTCAACCAGCTCACTACGTCAAATTCGGTGTCACTGAGCTGATCATAATATACTATGTAAGAGTCATAATTATGCTTATCTGACAGGAGATATGTATCCGGTCCCCCCCAGTGGTCAAGAGTAAAGCGATCCAACGCGAACGGATCGTATATTGGGTCGACGAGTTCGTCGGTAGGGAGGGGTACGGCCAGACGAAGTAGAGCGAGGGATCGTTCGACTACCAGTGAGTGACGTGCATCATCTAGCTCGGGGTTAGTTGACACTTGAATTGCCATCCCATATAGTCCTCTCACCACGCCTTCCTCTATCGCAGCGGTTCGGATATCAGCACTGGTAACTCCAATGGCGCTAGATCGTAGTGAGTCAAGCTTAGTTCCCGGGCGGTAGGGGAGCTTATGACGTCTGGGACAGTCTTTGGCCATATGGCCCTTCTGCTCACACTCAAAGCAAAGGTCACGCTCCCTAAGTCGCCTGATCTTGTCAGCGCTTTTCTTAGGTCGTTCGTGGACAGGGTGGGATGGGTTAGATGATCGAGGTTTAGGTTGGTGAGGCCTACTATTCGAGATCGCGTTTGCTGACAGGGATGAGGTGCGTTCTCGTCGATCACGTCGTCGATGGGGCTGATCATGATCTCTTCCAGCCCTTCGCTTGTATCCGGATGGTTGGTTTACGACACTGGCGGCCGCAGTGGGGTTCAGGGCGAGAAGGATATTGGGGTCGCGAGAGTTCTCTATGAACGCCCTTTCGGTGCGTAAAGTTTTCTTCTCAATGACCTCTAAACTAACGGTATTTGGCTCATAGCCCTTATCTACTAGTGAGGCTTTAAGGTAGGGCTTACAGTTCGTCCAGAATTGACGGACTATCTCCCGGTCATCCACATCGCCTGCCATATCCGCCAAGTCCCGGAGACGGCGTAGGTAGTCGCGAACTGACTGCTTTCCGTCTTGTCGACAATCAAGGAACCGTTGGCGCTGCTGCATCCGGAAGTCGGGCGGGAATACATAATCGAACAGCTGCTCGAAGAACTCCGTGAGTGAGTAACCCTTTCGCAGGTCAAGTATATCACGCTCAAAGAATCTGTAGGCCTGACCACTTAGGTACTTACCCAGCATTCTCAGAGATTGGCCAGTGGTGAGTTGCGCTCAGTCTTTCCACTCACGGACCTCCCGTACCCACTTCTTAAACGTGGTTGCATTGGCTTCACCGTTATAGATGAACGGGGGCTCATTTTTGATGAATCCTTGCTGATACTTCAGTAGGTTGAGTTTGGCCCGATACTCTCTCCTGGCACGGCGCTTTAGTCTCTTAGTGTCAGCGGAGTCACTATCATGTTCGGACTCTGGCTCCATGGCCAAGAAATCAACCCCAAATTCCGGGGTGAGGGCATTTGTCCTTGGTGAGCGTTCTCGTTGCCGTTTTTTCTTGGGCGGTTTACTAACTTCATCCGACTCAGTCGACGACTCCTCGTCATCATCACTAGATGAATCTGAGGAGGACTGCGAGTCGTCGGGTCCGGGGTCATTGGCGTCGTGAAGTGGACCTGTCATGGCCCGCTTCACTGAACTCCCCGCTGGCAAAACAGAAGACGCTCGCTGGAATCGATGGAGTGATTCAGCTGGAGGCTTACCTCCCAGGTTAACAGGGTGTTTACCTGTACGCTGGCTATTCATTTCAGGTGCAGAGGGACCCCTTTTCTCATCAGTCATCTGTTGGATACTAATTGTGGGTGCCCTGTGGGCTTCCGACACTTGCTTCCTGGCCTCGTCTTCACGAGTCTGACTTTGGATGACCAGGATTTCAAGCTCGCGTACCCTCTCACGCAGCTCGTCGACAATGTTTGCCTGGTCGTTCAATTCATCACGGGCGATTTTGCAGAACCGGCGTAGAGCCAAGTTCTGGATCTGGATCGATCCTCGTCTATTTTCGTCGTCCCAGAGGTTCTTCAGGGACTCGTCAGAATCGTCTGGTCCTGGGCAATTGGCTTCAGCCATCCCTTCATCAAATTCTGACCACTGGGCCAGCCAATCTTTAGGCGGGTTTGTGTTGGTTCCCTTATTCTTTTCCAGTGGGTCAACCTCTTTTCCTTTTAGCTCAGTTGCTATACGAGGCGTCGAGGTAGCCGAGACAGCATTGCGTTGGTCTCGGTTGGGTGCCAGTGTTGGGAATTCTGGGACCTCGCCCAGTTCCTCGTCGTTAGGGCTGTCAGCCCAGTCGAACACTTCTGTCAGTCTAGGGGTATGTGCTCTTATTTCTGGGTTAGCAATGCGGGCTCGCTGATATTGCAAACTATCCAATAGTCCAATTTTTGGGTACGCTACGTCTGGTTGCCCTAGCGGCGGGCTCAAGCTCATTGTGACGGAACTAGCTCCTCCACGGATGCTAGGCGAGTGTTTTTCTAATTTGTCTTTATCAGCTACTGATAAGGGTCTATTTACGGGCGGGACGTCAAATGCTCCGGGGATCGTGCCACTAGGCAACTGGTCTATGTCCAGCAAGGTGCTGTGCCCATTTGTCGGAGGCTCGGCGCGAACGCTTTCACTCCCAGTCTCCCCCGTGACGAAGGTATTGTCACGGGTCCAGGCACTCTCAACTCCAAGTTCGAGGGTGCCTGCGTCTACACTCTTCAAACTCGCAGGAGCCGAGCTAAGAGGGGTAGGATTGTCTGTTGCGCTGGCAGACATGGTTTTCTATCGATAGGGATGGGTTTTGGGGTAGGGGGTAGAAGGGTCGAAGATTTAGAGGGTGATCAGTCCCCTTGTGCAACGACCGTAGAGAGGAGTAGAGAGGAGTGGTAGTATTCGAAGTTCAAAATATGTGGCGTTCGAGGAACGTTCACACGGGAAGCTGACTTCTTGAGGTAGACTTAGGAATAGCAACAGAGAGAACTGTCTGAACTATGCCCTTGTTACTTGGGTAGGAAGGATCAACTACTCTATCTAAGTGAACAGAACCGGCTTTTATACTAAGGGGATCGGGAAGAGTAGGGATAAAGAGGGAAGAAAAGGAATAGGTAGTGACTACTGTAGCTAGGGGCTAAATTAGCTATAGTAGTCTTTTATATGTCTTAGCGAGCGTAACACCTTGGCTGAGTCTTGTTAGCGCCTGTTATCAGTCATTCATCACCCTTAACAACGGCATTGGACTCATCGTGGTATCGAGAATGGCTAGGATTGACTGATTTGTGATTCTAGAAAGCTCCCTCGTGTCACACATCAGCCATCCCCATCTCATCCCGGTTTCACAACCCACTTTGCAACACATCATGATATACCTCGTCTATCTACCGCAGCCACTCACCAGAGAATTTGATCATCGTACGCGGGGATTCTCATTTATTTAAATTATCAAATTTATATATGCCTTGCGCGGTAGAAGACCGAATGGCCCAGGCTATGTCCGACATAGGGGACTTGCTCCCGGACTTACAGGCACAACTTAATATATCTAGCTTGTGCGTATGAATCTCACCGCTCCCTATCCGTATGATGCTCCCTGTCTGTCATTCGGCCACCATCAAGGGACACAGAAAAATCATGACCGCGTGTAGCACGGTAAATTGTCAACCATCAAAGTTTACAGACCTCTATTGCTGTTTATGTAGCATTGGAATGTGGAACAAGCTGGTCTTGGCGGAGGATCAGAGGAGGGTCACAATCACGGCGAGGCCTGGGGACTTGCGGTCAGTGGAGATGCATCAGTAAATTCACACATTACTTAGCTTCCCTTTTTCGTAACTTGCCGCCGGGTAGTTTCCCAAAAAGGAGCGGACAAGTGACTCATAAGAATGGTGACACCAACTTATTATTAGCTTGCCACAAGGCAATTATAAGTGGAATAAGTAGATGCCTCCTCTCGGCGGGACCTTTTCAGTCCTTATTGTTTCACTTTTGCGCACTTATTTTGCACCTTTTTTTTTGCACCAATGCAGTACATTCACTTATTTTCTACTTTGTTTGTACATTTTTGGGGACTTATTTCACACTTAGTAAGCGAAAAATGACTGCATTTCAAACAAAAGTACTAGATTAATTGAGAGAAAAGGGAGGGAAAGCTACACGAAAGTACTGGTAGGAGATATTTAAATGTACGAAAAAGTGAATAGCATGACTACTGGTAGTACACGAGACCCCGGGCCGGAAGCAGCAGTAAAACGTTGACAAATTGAAGGAGTAATCTACAAATAGTAGTACCAAAAATCGTTAGTTGCGACTAGAAGCTCAAAAAGAAAAAGAACGATACCCACCAGAAGATGAGCGCACGCTCGTCATCGGAGTCGTCGTCCAAAACGACCGGCGCATTACGCCCCCTCGTGGCAGCGAGTGCCTTCGCGCGTCCCCAGAGTTCTTGGACGATTGACTCTTCGAGGCGGTTGATAGACTTCATATAGTTCCTGGTTGCTGAACCGAAGTTGGTGACCGAAAAGGCACTCCGAGAACCGCTATCCTTGCCCGTGGCTTTGTTGAGAGTGTGGGGGACCTTAACAGCCTTCCCTTTACTGTTGACGCCGAGCGTGGGGTGATGCCCGATAATTTTGAGGGCACGTTCCAACTAAAACGTGACAAATAAGTTAGCGGTACTATGAAGCGAGGGTGGAAATACACGCCGCCGCAGTGATAAGACCAATAGCGCCCCTCGCATGTGTTATATCTGTTGGACTCCTATGCCTGTTGATAGCGCCCGAAGTACTATGACCGTGCTGCACGAGGACCTCGAGAATGAGATCGGACTGAAAAGGTTTTTGGAATTTTCCATCCTCTGTAATGTGGCCATACAGGAATCCCAACTTGAAGAGTAAGCTATTTGCGAAGTCTTCGCGGTCTCGATCGGTCTCGACATCATCCTGCGACAACATAAAACTCGCAAGTACCGAGACAGCGGAATGACCGATGTTATGGCGCCAGTCGGACAGCCGTTGGAGAGCCTAAGAAAAATGCAAAAATGATTAGATACAAGTAGCATCAAAAAGTACTTACTATGGCAATGACAGGTCCGGTTGTAGTGACTGTATGTGTGATATCCCCGTAAACCACGTTCCAAATGTCCTGCAGAATATCGCGGAGGGTCATCTCAGGAATAGACCAGACCTCGTCCCGATCTCCGATGGTGAGGATGAGAGTAGGTATAAACACGCTACTCCACCTAGTTGTTGCCCGATGACCTCCAGGAAGGTTTGTGATCCTGTAATGAGAGCGGGGGAGGATCTCCACTATAACCTCGTCAGGGTTCGCGGGATCAGGTGTTTCGGCGGTTGCGATACGGGAAACGCTCTGAGTGTTTTTACCGGAGGGCTTTGGCCTCTTTGCGACGGGGGCTTTGTGATTGACACCGACACCAGTCTACGGATTTCGTAGTCAGTAAGATGTCATATTAACACAATGAAAGCATACTACCCCAGATGTTACCCGCAAGGACACAGGTTTGGGTTCGGTCTTGACCACAGTCTTCTTGTGGTGATCAACGATCTCAATTTCAGATGAGGAGTCGTCCTCAATCATAGGGTCGTCCTCGCCGATCATAAGGTCGTCCTCAATCATCAGGTCGTCCTCAATCAGGTCGTCCTCCATCAGGTCGTCCTCCATCAGGTCGTCCTCGATCAGGTCGTCCTCGAGCAGGTCGTCCTCGATATCCGCGTCCTCGATATCTGCATCCTCGACATCTGCGAATTTCCGCTTTACACGTGTTGCTGGAATGGTAGGGTGGGATGTGTGGGCTTGGGCGAGAGGCCGGGGGTCAACGTCATAATACCCTTTGGGAACCTGTGCAGAAGGGGGTGGTTCGAGATCAGATTCTGAATCCGAGTCGGATTTATAAAAAACCAGGGCAGGTAGGGGAGCCTGTGCAGGTGCCTCGGCGTCCATTTCAAAATCATTGTTCGGGGTCGTGAAGGTATCATCATAGACGACGTCAGGTTCGAATCGCGGCGAGCTGCTTGGGTGCCAGATGGGCATTGTGGGGGGCTAAGTTTGTGGGCACTGCAGCGCCAGGGACATTGGGAGAAATCTTGACGCCCTGCAAATACAATTAAACCATTAGAAATAAGATATAGATGAAGTCACCTGAGTAGCCCTCAATTTTGACATTCGACAAAGAGCTTGAGAGCGCTCCATTGATTCGTCTAAATCATCGTCATCAAACAGGGGTAGAAATAGCAAGACCTGTCAATTTGTCAGCCCCAGCATCAAAATTGCTACTGATTGACGTGAGCGGGGCACTGCTGCTACTGATAGTGGTTCCCCTGGTGAGCTTAGAGGAGGGAGCAGAACTAGAGATAGCGGACTCCTGGATGGAAGACGCTGCAGAATGTCTGGCCTTGGAGGACGGCTTTGAACCGCCAGCGGGAATGTTCGATTCGCCAGTCCGGGATACGCCCAGCAAGTTGGAATTTTTTAGGAGCCGGTATAGAGCTATCAGCATCAATATCACGGACCATGAGATTGAAAAAAAAAAGAGTTGTTTCAGTCAGATAGAGCCTCATGGTTAAGGTAAGAAATAAACGCCTTACACATCAGACACTTGGTTATCATGATCACGTGCCTCTGTTGATTCATCGATAAGGCCTGCTGCTTCAATCGCATTTCTCACTGGCGTCTTCACTGGGATTACTTTCCTCCCCTTCGTTTTGCGTGTCCCTGGCACTTGCGCCTCCAACTCCTGTTCACTCCCAGGATTCCCGATGTCAGCACCAGCTGTCATTTTACCTTTAGCCCTGCCGCCCTTGACTTTGGCACCAACAGCCTTATCGGCACCAACATCCTTATCGGCGACAATGCCTGCACCTTCCTGACCACCCGCCGTAGTCATGTTGGAGGTGTCTGAGGCTTTCACGCCCTTCTTTACTGGGCGTGGACGAGGACGACTTGGCTTGGGTGCATCAGCACGCATTGCAGCTTGGTCGGTCTCCATCTGTTTCTGAAATGTGGCAACGCGCTTATGCTTTTCTTGCACAGCTGTTTCACTTGCCTCCTTTGCTTCTTTTTCAAGCTGGTCGTCAGCGGACTTTTGAGCTTTGGTACGTCTCTTTGCGTGGCCTTCACCCCCAGTCAGAATATGTCCTGGATGCTGAGTAGCATTTTTAGCTCGAGTTGTCATGCGTTTCGGAACTGCGCTGGCAGGCTGAGACATGGTATTGATGGATGGGTTGGAAGGCTGAAGAAATTCGAGGGCGATGGTGGTTGACAACAAGGTGAGTTTTGTCACATTTCTTGATAATGTAGTCTAAGCTGACTCTGAATAAATACATCGACCCTACCTACAGTCATGCCCCGGTGCTACTACCTATTAGTTTAGTGTGACCCTTCTGCAGCTGCTATTGACGTTGGGGACTGCATCAATTTTTCCAAAACCTTTCCAGTACACGCATCAAATTGTTCCAACACTTTTCCTGGATGTCAAAGTTCGCCCATGCCATTTCGACGCAGCAACGTCAATGTTAGCCGAGACATTTCGCCGAGAGGAAAGTTTCCCACCCCGCTAGTACGTCAATTTTCACCATGACTTTTCCATTATGGCTTGAACATCAATATTTACTAGGACTTTTCCAGTTAAATTTGGTCTAGGGTCTGTTTCAGATGCTCAAGTCTGGCCTAAGTTTGCACATCAAACCTAATTTTGGGCACATTGGGCACATTGGTGCTGGTGATTACGGTTGAATGTGTCGGCCTTCGGAATCCTCTTCAATCATTGATTCCAACAGCCCCGCCTGTAGCGCATATGCCTCCCCGCCGTTCTCACAATCTCCTTCGGCTTCCATGCCTAGCTCCAGCCTGCACACGCTGGTTTCGAAATCAGTCAGGTCGCACCCAACACATGCGGGCGCTCCACCCAACTTTACCTGCTTCAGGACCGCCCCCGCAGGATCCTCCCCTACTATCTCAGTCACCACCCCACCATCGAGACTTTTCACCACCCCCTCCGGGTTTCTCACCACCCCCTCCGGATTTCGCACAGCCGCCCCAGTCATTGCCTCCCATACTCCCTGAGCGAATTCACGAGGATACTGATGCAGAATTCACTGACGCAAGTGAGCGTTACTATCGTACCCACCATTCAATGCTAAACGGTAAGTTCCCTTCAATCTGTCAGTACTCTGTTTTTGACTCAGATTTACTACCTTAGGACGACCATGCACGGCCGAGGGAGCATTTCTGCCGTATGGTACCCCACCAACTCCCGTGCCACCAAAGTCTCCTGTTGATTGGAGTCCATATCGCAATAGAACAGAATTTGAGATGGCAGAGTTCGCATTCAAAAAGTGCCACATGTCTACAAACAACTTGGATTTCCTATGCGACTTAATGGCTGCGACTCTCGCAAAACACCGTGACACCCCTCCATTCACCGATCACAAAGATCTACACAACGTCATTGATGCGACACAACTTGGCGACGTCCCCTGGCAATGTTTCTCGGTTCAATACACAGGAGAACGCCCTGAGGTTGTCCCGCCGTGGATGGATGATGAATTTGAGGTCTGGTATAGGGATCCCCGTGAGATGGCGCACAACATATTGGCCAACCCTACCTACAAGGACGAAATTGACTATGTGCCATTTCGTGAGTATAATGCATCGGACGACATGCACCGATGGAAAGACTTTATGTCTGGAGATTGGGCATGGCATCAGGCGGTACATATTTAATCTATCACTATTATTTCTCGGGACATGCTAATGTTCTATAAAGGATGCCATATCAAAAGATCCAGAAACCCGTGGATCTACTTTAGTCCCAATCATTCTCGGTAGTGACAAGACTACTGTCTCCGTTGGCACTGGTAACAATGAATACTATCCACTCTATGCCTCGATCGGTAATGTACGCAACAATGTGCGGCGCGCTCACCGAGATGCTCTTGTTATCATCGGTTTCCTCGCTATACCCAAAAGTATGTGTGCTAATTATTTACATTCTATTATGCCCCATCTGAATGGCGCCCCAGCTGACAAGAAGTATGCTAAAGACGACGTGTTTCGGATATTTCGTCGTCAGCTATTCCACAGCTCACTATCCACAATTCTCTCCAGCCTGAAACCTGCGATGACTGAGTATGAGGTTGTGCGCTGTGGAGACGGTCATTTTCGACGCATTATATACAGCTTAGGACCCTACATTGCAGATTACGAAGAACAACTGGTGTTATCCTGCATTGTTAAACGTTGGTGCCCAAAGTGAGTATGAGAACTTGCAATTGGTGTCCATTCATACTGACAATACTTGTAGATGTATCGCACTTTGAACAGACCTTGATAGTGGTGGTGCGTACCGCTGTCGCGAGCATACCGATTTCATGGTCAATGAACTACACGGGGATATATTGTGGGATGAATATGGTATCATTGGCGATCTCGTTGTGAGCAGAACCGGCCGCTCTTCAATACCACACTAATTTGTTTTGTATAGCCATTTACGAATGACTTCCCCCGAGCTGACATCCATGAATTGCTATCGTTCGACCTCCTCCACCAGCTAATAAAAGGCGCTTTCAAAGATCATCTCGTCGACTGGGTAGCAAAGTACCTCAAGGCTGTGCATGGTACCAGAAGGGCGGACGAGATCATGAGCGACATAGATCGCAGGTATGTCACCTCGCTCGCTGGCTCAATCTCATTCTCTAACAATAAGTCAGAGTTGCTGCTGTAGCATCATTCTCAGGTTTTTCTTCCGGCTATTGAAGGCCACGTACCTGAAGACATGGTGCGTGCATTCCGCGCATTGTTAGAATTTTGCTACCTTGTGCGGCGCAATGTCATAACCGAAGATACCTTGAATCAGATTCAAGACGCGCTTCATCGTTTTCATCGCTATCGCAAGATATTTGATGTTGTCGTTCCTACCTTCTTGCTCCCCCGCCAGCACTCGATGACTCATTACACAGACATGATACGACTCTTCGGTGCCCCAAATGGCCTATGTTCTTCAATCACGGAATCAAAACATATCAAGGCGGTAAAGGAGCCCTGGCGGTGGTCGAGCAAGCACAATGCTCTTGGTCAGATGCTTGTGACCAATCAACGCCTTGACAAGCTCGCAGCATCACGAGTGGACTTCGATGCGCGAGGGATGCTGACTGGTACTGTTTTATCAAGTGTTTTGGCCGTTCTTGGTAAGTTTTCTATATCTGATTGTCTCCTTGTATACTTATCAGCAATATACAGCGGCAGATGAAGATAGACTAGCTGCACCTGCTATCGCCGCGCCACAACCAGATGCCCATACCATTGAACCGCAACCAGAAAACGATACCGACGACAGTGAAATAGTTGATGGTCCAACCGTACTCGCTTATGTATCGCTCGCCAAAACTCCTCGTAAGTAATATCACGCAATGTCCAAGCTGTGAGCTCACTTGTGTCACACAGAACGAAAACGGGCACATACAGTAGCAGCATTGGCACTTGAAGTCGCTGTTCCGGATCTGCGACGTCTCATTCGACACTTTCTGTTCTCTCAGCTCTACCCCAATGATCCTCGCGACCTCGAAGATGTCCCAGCCGCTAGCTGCCCTAGACATGAAGGCAAGCTCCAGGTCTTCAATTCGGCTGCTGCAACATTCTATGCTCCCAGCGATCCAAGTGGCATTGGCGGCATGCGACGCGAACACGTCCGTGCATGCCCACTCTGGAGGAACGAGTACCCACGCAATGATTGTGTGTTCATCAACACTGATTCATATGCTGAAGGAATGCGAGGACTCGAAATCGCGAGAGTGATATGTTTCTTTTCTTTCAAACACGACTGGGAAGTATACTCATGCGTTCTCATCCAATGGTTCGACAAGATTGGTGATTGTGCCGATGAAGACACTGGCATGTGGATGGTCCGTCCAAGTTTTCATGAGGATGGCTCCCGGAACCTCGCTGTCATTCATATTGAGATGGTCTACCGTGCAGCACACCTGATACCTGTCTACGGCTCTGAGTACATCCCTCACTCCCTCAAGTTCTATCATTCCTATGATTCTTTCCGTTCATTTTATGTCAACAAATACGCTGATCACCATGCCTTCGAGATAGCGTCCTGACCGCCACACGTGACATAGGTAGGTCCTCAATTCAATCCTCAGTCCGTTGCTAATGGTCAAATCAACCCCGATAGAATGTTCAACTTATCGACACTCGTTTGCGATCTTCCTGGTACACAACAAGCTCAAGAGTCCCCTGCTCCGAACGGGACACCTTCAGTACCCCTAGCTTCGAATCCCGCGAACCAATCAGCCGTCAGGCTTGCACTGTCAATGAGAAGGCCGGTCACCAGACTTCCACTGAGTCCTGGGGTATGGGTCCTCAATTCAATCCTCAGTCCGTTGCTAATCGGTCACCAGACTTCCGCTGAGTCCTGGGGTATGGGTCCTCAATAACGGGACACCTTCAGTACCCCTAGCTTCGAATCCCGCGAACCAATCAACCGTCAGGCTTGCGCTGTCAATGAGAAGGCCGGTCACCAGACTTCCGCTGAGTCCTGTGGTACTGGTCGCGCTGTTGCACGTATTCCTCGTGTCGGTCCTACCATCACTCACAAGCGAGTGATCGAGGAATTTGGCGAGCGCAATTGGACCCCCCCTCCCCACCTAACATCACTCACAAATGAACGATTAAGGAATTTAGCGAGCACAATTGGACCCCCCCCTCCCCACCTACCATCACTCACAAGCGAGCGATCGAGGAATTTGGCGAGCGTTCGAAGAATTTGGCGAGCGTTCGAAGAATTCGGCGAGCGTTCGAAGAATTTGGTGAGCATATGTCATTCGTGACGGATTCATGTACGCTGATGATACAATTTTTACAGGTCGACTACGTTAACAAGCGCATTGGCATGCCGCATCACCGCAACAACACCTTCAAATAATCGGTAAGTTCGCGACTCGTCAGTTACGAGCTATTTTACTCACCATCGTCTGCAGAAACAGCGTCACGCTACGTTCGAGCGGGGCGTTCCATCTCCTCGATTCCTACGCCTCATCCACCTCCTCAATCTCTTCCACAACCCCAGTGGGGCCTCCACCTGAGCCACCTGAGCTACTGGCTGCCTCCGCCCTTGCATCCACCCTTGCCCGCGATACACACCGGTATGTGTTGTTTTGCGGGTCCCAGTGTACCTTACTAACGTCTACAAACATTTTCAGGGTCAATATCATAACGAGCTGGAGTACGTACTGGATCTTGGGGGCCCATTGCGCTCGAGATCGTGTTGATCGCTGATATCAACGAGTCGTTGGTGTTTGATCAGCGGTAGTAGCTGGTATCGAGACGGGCGCTTCACCGTCTTCCCTTTTTGGAAAGCGAGTCCCATCTCTAACAGCGTGCCCTATGATACTAGTAGTACTACTATATTGTAATTTACTTGTTCACTCTAGGCTTTTTCAGCTTTTCAGCTTTTCAGCTTTTCAGCTTTTTTCAATTGTATGCCTTTTCACGCGCTTTTACTTGTGTGCTTCAACTTGCCGCCTTTCCGGCGCTTTTGTGTCACACGCTTACTTTTCGTACTTGTGAAATCCAGGGCCACAAGTGAATAAGTGTACATAAGTCAATTAAAGGTGGGAATAATATTTAGAATTTTAAGCAAGCGAGCGCCGAGTAATGTGTGAATTTACTGATGTACATGGTCTCTGTAGGTTCGGTAGCCAAGTAGGTAAGTCCCGAATATGTAGGTAGCATGTAGGACACTCATGTATACAATAGGCACTCATAGTGATGTGCACGGCCTGGCTTCAAGCCGTGGGCCGAGCCAAGCCGGGCCAAATTAGGCCGGGCCAAGCCGGGCCAAACTGACGGCCTGACCAGGGCTTTGGCCCGGCCTGGAATTCTGAAAAGCCGAAGCCGACGGCCTGAGCCGCGGCTTTTAGCCACCTCAACCATTGACAACGACCATGAACATTCCAACATCAAATTGGAATTTCTTCAAAGAACTGTTGTGACCATCTTCGATACTGGTCAAACCGTCTGAGCTCTGAGGTTATCGTACATTGTACATGTATTTTGTTTCCTTCAATTTCGTGGATAGGCATCAGCACGGGTCCGGGTAACCCGCGCGGGTCACAGGTACGGGTACTCGAGGGGTATGGGTATGGGTATGGGTAGCGGTACTGGAAACCCGTTACCCGTCTACCCGTCCGCATGTCAAACCCATCCAAAATGAGTAACGAGCACATTTCAAATTGTTACAACTATACAGTACCTACTGAACTCTAAATATCATAATAGAATACTTTAATCTCACGGACCAGCACCCCTTGATGTCCATGTTCGGCAAACGAGTCACCAAACTTACAGCGAAGGCTGCCCAGGCCGTCGCCGAGGGAAGCAAGAAGCTAAAGCGGAAAACAAGTGTTACCAGCAAGGAACCATCAAAGAAGTCAAGGCCCGCACCTTCGATATCAAGTGATGCCCCATCTAGCCCCTCATCTACTGCTATCCGATCACAATCACATAGTGAGCCTCCACAGGCTTCACTGTATCGACAAGCCTCATTCCGCACCGAAGAGGAGGAGGAGGCATTGTATGATGATGCCATCATCATCAACTCCGATACTGAGTCCACGACATCGAAGGCGAGCGGCCACGCCATCGAATCAGAAGCAGAGAATTCGGACACAGAACTAGGTGTGTCTCGATGTCTTCAATCCCTACATAAACTCACACAAGTTATTAGAACGTTTGCAAAAGGGATGGACCTCACCCGTATACGCGTTCTTCGAACCAGTACCTGCAGTTGAGTACACTGGTGGCCGCCGTGCGCACGTCTTTAGGTGCATGGGCAAGGGATGTAAACAACGTGTCCGCCGTTACCTGGACAAGGGTGACGCAAAATCCACGAGTAACATGGCAAAGCATGTTAAAAGTTGCTGGGGTGAGCCAGCATACCAAGCTGCCCAAGATGCGAGGACCGCCAGCTCAGCACGTACAGTAGTGCAAGGCATACTAAAAACCGGCTCAATCACTTCTTCTTTTGAACGAAAAGGTAAAGGTAAAGTCACTTACTCGCATAGGCAACACACGAAGACCGAAACCAGGTGAGTGCACTAGCACTAATACTCGACTGCATACTAACACAAACAAGGGCCGAAATTGTGCGTTGGGTCGCAGAGAGCCTGCGTCCATTTGAAACGCTTGGTGATCGAGGCTTCGTGACGCTGATGAAGACTGGTCGTCCGGAATATTATATTCCATCACCATCAACTGTCTCGCGTGATGTGAAACTGGTATTCGTAAACGTCAGAAAACGTATTGCGCAGATGTTACAAACTTACGACGGGGAACTGAACTTCGCCACGGACGCGTGGACTTCACCGAATCACAAAGTGTTTGTAGCGCTGTCGGTTCACTTTGAACACGAAGGGGAGGCACTTGCAATCCTACTCGACATAGTCGAGGTTTCGAAGGTGAGTATACCGTCCATGGTACACACGAATAACACGACGTAACTCGTACCAGTCACACTCGGGTGCGCATCTTGCAGAAGCGTTTGCCAAAGTCTTAGAAGACTTTGGAATTTCGGACAAGGTAAGCACATTTTCTCGTATATATGATTGACACTTACCTGCAATACCTGTAGATACTTAGTATCACTGCTGATAACGCATCGAGCAATGATACGATGACGACAACGCTGGCTGAAAATGTAGCCCACTTTGGGGGCGATACAGCATGAACTCGCTGTTTTCTACACATTGTCAATTTGGTTGCAAAAAGTCTCCTAAAACAATTTGACGTACCTAAAAAAGAGGCCCTCGTGTTTGGTGGTAATGCAGATGTTGGGAATGCAGAGACAGAGCTGCAAGAGATTGCGCAAGGACTTGACGCCGAGGACACAGACACCATCACAGAAAATGGTGCCGGTGATCCCAATGCAGATGATACTGATAATCTTGATGGCTGGGTGGATGAAGTCGGGGAGCTATCGGATGAGGAACGGGACATGCTTCAAGATGATATACGCCCTATAAAATTTGCTCTAGCCAAGGTGAGCTCTCAACGACAACAAAAAATGACACACCGTACTCACATGTGAACCAACGTTAACAGCTGTGCAAGCTGTCCTACAAAATTGTGCACTCGTCGACATTGTTGCTGCCTGAATGGAAGTCAATCTTACCCGAACTGAAGCTCACCGTGAGAATCATGCCACGTGATGTTTCCACTTGGTGGAATTCTACCTTTGATATGCTGGAATTTGCAATCCAGTATCGGGAAGCCATTGACGCCATGACGGACAAGCGAAGATTGGGTTTGGGTGCTTTTGAGTTGAACGAATATGAGTGGGGACTTGTTGCACAGTTGTGCGATGTTCTGAAGGTGAGTCACATATGTCACATTGTCATTGTCACCTACTGACGTCGTTGTTGTCCTTACCAGATTCTTAAACACGCAACACTATACTTTTCGCGTGGGTCACCAACTCTGGCCATGGTTATTCCGGCCATGGACCACATCGACTCTATTTTCACGGCGGGAATCATCAATCACCAGACTCTAAATCCCGCTATTCGTGCCGCTCTCAAACTCGCCAAATGAACTCTCAATAGGTATTATTCCCTCACTGACAAGTCGGAGACCTATCGAATTGCGATGGGTAAGTAGTATTCACTTGTCTTTGTATTTATTCTGACATTCAACGTCTGCTAGTTCTACACCCTCGACACAAACTCGAATACTTCAAGGCTGCGCGATGGGAGGATGAGTGGGTGACAACCGCTCACAATATTGTTCGCACTGAGTATGAACGCTCGTACGCCTCACGTTCATACTTGCTGCCGGAGGAAGAGGCCACCATCACTCAAAAACCCCAGGTGCGCCTTGTTATTTTTATTACTTATTCTCGCTATTGATTTATATCAATACAACAGGACAAAGATCTTCACGCTAACATCTTCGACTGTTTGCCCGGGCTCGCTAAGCCAAACCACCGCACAATCAATAACGAACTCGACGCCTATCTTAGTGCACCTATTGAGGATGTCGAGGATGCTCTCAAATGGTGGCAGCAACAACGTGCTACTTACCCTCACCTTTCCCGTATGGCCCT